TATTTTTTAATACAATTTTAACAACCTTGATAATTCTGCATGACAATAAACCATATCTAACTTTCGGTGTCGTATTTTATCAAGTGTCATTTTCATTTGAGAAAATATATATATTATGAGTACGAAAATTTTAATTTTTTAAAAATAAGATTTAAAATTTTAATTGTATAAACAAAACAATAAATATTAAAAAAATTTATACTTTGTTTTTGTTACACAATAAAAAATAATAATATCTTATTTCTTATCTTACCTCATTTTTATGTCATGATATTTAAATTTAAAATATCTTATTTTTAGTAAAAAAATAATTATTAAATTATTTAAATAATTAATAAAAAATTATAAAATATAATATAATATAATTTTAAATTAATATGACCATTAAATACTCAGCCGTGTAGCACCAAAATCAAGCGTCATTTTCATCTGAAAAAGAGTGTCACTTACGTTACAGTTTACCCTATCTCTGCACTTCTTACAGACAGGTTTCTAATTAGATGACAAACAAGATCATCCAACACAGTAACACACACATGCTTGCTCTGAATGGGTCAACAAGTCAAATCAAACTTTTATACAAAAACATTTATCATTACTGGATCAGAAGACTTTCGTACCTCAATCATTAAATTGAGTTTGACATTTTGTTACGAGTAATTTGCAATTTAGCACATAGTTTCTTTAAAATAAAGACATCCATGATATCATGGTTGATTTTAATTCATCTTGTGAGGAGCTGGAGATTGAAGAAGACAGCATTAATTAACAATATTCGAAAAAGTTAAAATGGAACTAACACAACATTTTAGAAAGTTAATGCAACTAACACAACTTTTAAGGGGACACGTGAATGGCTTGCAATTAAAGGTAAGTTTACCGATTAGTTGACCAAAAAAGAGGTCGGCCAATTCCTCAAAAAAAAAAAAGAGGTCGGCCAAAGAGATTATGGTTGTGATTCCCATGTTTCCATTAAGAATACATCATTTTAATTAATATTTTATCTCTAATTGTTAAAGAGTAATTACTATTTATTATTTTTTGTTAGATTTAGTAGTTTAATTTTTTTAAATAAAAGTAGTTTGATTTAATTGTTTTGTTTTTTATTTTAATAATATATTAAGTTTTAATATTTTAATTTTATTATAATCTTAAAAAAGGATAAATATTCATTAAATTTTTTTTCACTTAATTATAAATAATGGTGAAAATTAAAAAAATAAATCTTAACTATTATAATAAATAAATTTTTTACTATTTGTAAATGGATAAAACGAAACAATTAAATTTAACCAAAGAGAGTACTTGACATGTTGAAATTAGTTCACAAAGATATATATATTCAAACATCATACCTAACTGTTTAAGAAAAAACTATAAATTGTTGAACTATCAATATCATTGTATAACCCTAACAAAAATGTGTGTGGTAATAATCACTATTAAATATACAAAGAAAATAATATAATTGTAATATTATATAAGATTATAAATATATAATTTTAATATATTATTAAATAAGTTAGTGTATGTAATATTATAAATAGATTAATCATATATAATAATATGTCAAAATTATAAATTTACAAAATATTATAATTATATCATTTTCACATGCACAAGATTAATACTTTTTAAAAAACATTAGTACAATTTAATGAAGTAATAAATAAAAATGTTTAAATAATTAATCATAATAATTTTTAACAATTAAATAAAACAAATAGCTGCTTACTAATTTTAAAGTGTTATGTTCTTAAGAACATAATTAAGATCAAAGCTCCAGTGGACTAATCACATTAAAAATATTAAAATAAAGTACAATAGAGAGAGTATTGCATGCCGTCTTCAATCATTAGGTGTTAAAATTTTAAAAGAAGATTATTTGTGGTTGCATAATTCACCCAACTCAATTGAAAAGGAAAACCCATATTGAATATCATATAAAGGGTGAAATATGCCCTAAGGAAAAATCTTTCTTTTCCCATATCTTTCTTTACGTACCCAACTCTCCTTTTCATCTCAAAAATCCTAAAAAAAAAAAACTCATTATATCTCTTGGTCAAACGTAAAGTCCACTAATTGAAACCAGCAAATAACAACGACATTTTTTCTTATATATTTATATAGAGGTTGGAAAATAGTGAAACATAGATTTGAAGTAAACTAATTTCTCTATCATTTAACCACTGCCTAATTGGTAATTAAATCCATATCCTTTGGAAAAATTCTTTTTAAATCCTTTACAAAAGTATGAAATCCAAGTCAAGTAGTGGCAGGGCCCCATGGCGTGTCTGATGGGCAACAATACATCACAGTCCACATCCTTCCTACACGATGTCCACTTGTCGACGATGAAATAAGAAGCATTTTTTTTTGTAGCTACATGGCCTGTGGGGCTGCCTTTCATCTTGTAACAATAAAGAGTAATAACTAAGAGGATGGAGCTATCCATCCAACACTTCAAATTTAAAGAGATTTTTATGGATCTGATCATGTGAAATTCAATTTCTATTTCTTTTCAATTAAACCCTCCTATCACGAACTTTATAAAAATAAATAAATAAAATTTAAATTACATCAGGATATGGTTCTCATTCTTTTAAATATAATTTCATTTGGTTCTTAACATTTTACTTGTAATATTCAAATTCTAAATCCATATAATTAGGTTATTAAATGTGAGTGCATGTTTTTTTCTAATACATAGATATTAGGTTTTTAATGGTGACTAAAATTATATAACTCTATTATCAAATTATATGAGTGATATTGTGTACATGTTTGCCTTGTAAATATGTTTAAAATTAATAATTCAGCCTTTATTTAATGAATTATATTAAAGACTGAATTTGTGAATTTCAAATAAAAATTATAATATTAAAAACTCAAAGATAATAATCCAAATCCTATTGACGGTGAAGCTATTTTTTATTTTATTTTCAACTTCTTTATTCCTACCGACCGCGCGCAAGTAGGTGGCGTCTCTCTCTTTATTTGGTTTTAATTACTGTGAAATTTTTTTAAAATTCTGTTTGATT